CCCCACACGTCCATGTGAAGAGTCTGCAGAGGAGCCTCAGTCGGAGGGAACGAGGAGGAGTGAGGAGCGGCACTCTGCCTGCCCTCGACACAAGGAACACAGGTGGGGGCAGGCCCTGGAGGAAGGGGAGGGAGGGACCGGGGTAGACCCGAGACAAGGGCACGGGAAGCCATACCTCGAAGACGAGGCAGGGAGGGGTGACCAAGGCGGTGGTGCCAAAGGAGAGAGTCTCGTGCGACAGAGGACGACACGAGCAGGGGGCAGACGCAGGACTAGACCTGGACGCGGCAGCAAACACCTGACTAGACGCAGCTACCTGACCAGACACAGAGACCGGAGGAGACGCAGTAGTCAGTGTGTACAGACTCGACCCTGGCCGACGGGTGAACGTGGCCATGTGGCGGCCCGTCCGAGAGCAAGTGCAGTGGGTCACACGCTAACCTCCAGGGGTGAACTGGTCAACCCACGCGTCCTGGAGGTCAGCTCCACTCACCAAGTTCGTAGAGAACGAGGGGAGGTGGAGTCCCGACAGCAAGCCCGACGGGGCCGCAGGACACGGTAGAACCGTGGAGGAGTGTGCAAGAACTGGGCCCCCTGAGGGGTCAGCAAGGGAGACCGCAACAAGCCGACTGAGCGGCATGAGCGTGGTGCTGTCTCTAAAGAAAGAGCGCGAAGCGTGTGGGAGACGATGGAGTGGCACTAGGGGGGTGTGTCGTGTGGGAGTGAAACTAGGGGTGCAGCGGGGGGTGTGTGAAAGGGGGGTGCGACAGTGGGGGAGGTTGAAGGGAAGTAGCCGTCGTGTTGCCAGCAGTGCCAGTAGTCCGGAGGTGCGCTTCCGGTAGCCCAGTGATGCTGCTGCGCCAGTCGCCCGTGGGTCCGTTGCTCCTGCCGCTCGTCTTAGCCGCGGAGCCAGTTACTCCTGTAGTCCGGAGGTGCGCTTCCGGTAGCCACATTGCGCGCCGCTCCTGTTGCCCGTGTGTCTGCAGCTTCAGTCGTTGCCTCCTCTCTCCCCTATCAGTCCAGCTCCTCCTCCTCACTTGCCCTCTGTGATAGCCTCTAGCTTTGCTTATTGCTGTGAACTATAAACTGTTGCTTCTTGTACTTTTGCTCAGAATGTGTGGTGACATTGTGATCCACCCTGAGCTTGTTTTTTGCTTGCTTGTTGTGCTTATTACACCCCACTTTGGCTATGGGGGTGTGTCAGAATGTTATGTTTGTCTAGCCTGCAGTGGGGTACTCAATAGTGAGTAGAGCCCAATCTAGGGTTTGCTATATGTACTCAACTGCTTGCTAGTGCAATCACTCTTTTTCGTTTCTAACTTGCAACTGTTATTTCAACAGCAGCTACCTGAGGAGGCTCAGCAGTCAGTGTGTACAGACTCGACCCAGGCTGACGGGTGAACGTGGCCAGGTGACGGCCCATCCGTGTACACGTGCAAATCAAAACACGTTGACCCCCAGGAGTGCTGGTAGTGATCATCGCATCCTGGAGGGCAGCGGTGCTCACCAAGTTCGTAGAGAACGAGGGGAGGTGATGACCTGATAGTGAGCCGGACGGAACTGTCAGACACAGGAGAACAGTGGAAGAACGGGCAAGAACTGGGCCCCCTGAGGGGTCAGCCAGTCTGACCGGAACATGTGCAAGGAGTGGAGTGAGGGTGGTACTATCGCGAAAGAAATAGCGTGAAGCACCTGAGTCAAGCGTAAAGGTGTGCAAGGCCTCAACAGGCGCAGTACCAGGGAGAGAAGACTCACTAGCATCTAGAGCAGCAGCCTCTATACCTGGGTCGGGCGGCACACACAGGTAACAGTCACCCTCAGCACTAACAGACAAGGCATAAATGGTAGCAAGGATAGCATCATACTCAAGACCTAAGCAGCTCTACCCAGCGGGGGCGCTCAGCCTCGTCGCCAAACTCTGCCCGCCAAGCGTCGTCAAGGTAGGAGAAGCAGCGGTGCTGAGTGTGAAGCTTCTCGCATGTCTGGCCAGCGCGGTCACCTGTGCGAATGACATACGGGCAACGAACACTACCCCCAGACACCCCACGCTGAGAAAACCACTCACGAAGCTGCTGAGGCGTAGGGGTCTCACTCCGACCCCGCTCTGGCCACCGCCAGAACCTCCCCTCTGAACAGCTCCACCCCGACCGTCACCACTGCTGCCACCACCACTCCCACTACTGCCACCACCGCCACCCCCACCCCTACCGCTTCCACCACCGCCGCCACCGAAGCCCCCACTCCTGCCACCACTCCCACCGCTGCCACCACCTCCGCCACCTCCACCGCCTACACCACCACCACCCCCGCTACCACCGCCACCACTCTTACCAACCTTGCCCTTGTCGCTGCGGCGCTTCCCACTAAGAGCAGAAGCAGCCCCAACATTCTCAGCACCAAGGATGTCAATAGCAGCAGCAGAAGCATAGGAGGGGGCAAGGGGGGAGGGGGAGCACCCCTCAAAGAAGGGTGTGCGAGGAGTGCCACGAGCAGCACCTACAGCGACTACGCTAGTCTCAACTGCAAGGAGGTGCTTCTTGATCAGGTCGACAGTGAGGTCGGTGGGGTCAAGAGCGAGAAAGTGGTCCCTGATTGCGCGAAGAGAGGCAGGGAGGCGGGTGACTATGAAGTAGAGAGTGATGTACATCGGGGGGGGGGGGTCCTGTCTAGGAACTCGGCTGGGAGGGCAGAGCGGTAGCGAGCGTCGCTAGTGCGAAGGTGGGTAACGAGTTCCTCGACTGTGGCAAAGGCTGACAGCTCGGGAAACAGGTAGGGCAGTGTAATGCGGCCGAGAGCAGCAGTGGCAGGGGAAGAGTAACAAGCGACTACAGCGTCGTACAGTGCCTTAGCAGTCTTGTGCTGGCCAAAGTGAGCGCGTTCGGCTAACGGCAGGTGGTTGCGAACGGCTAAGCGAGCAGCAGCGTCACGGGTAAGCCACTGTGAGCGAGTCGCACTGTCAGCTGTGGCGGGAGGGGCGACAGAGGCTCCATACGTGTGGTCAAACAACGAAGCGCTGTCTCTAGAATCGCTCAGTAGGTACAGCTGTAAGTCGTCGAGCCACGTATCGAACTGGATCGGACGGCCCTCATGATCGAACGTGAGGACACTGAGAGTTGCCATAGTGGGCAGAGCAGGGTGGCATGCGACCAGCAGAGCAGCACACAGGTAGGGCGGCACGCGAGCACGAGGGAAGTGAGCAGGGCAGGGCAGGGCGGCGCACGGCTAGGGCGGCCAGCAGAAAGGGCGGCGAGCAGGCTGACAGAGGGTGGCGTGCGGGCTGCAAAGGGCGGCGAGCGGGCTGCCAGAGGGCGGCATGCGGGCTGCAAGGGGCGGCGAGCGGGCTGCCAGAGGGCGGCGCGCATGCTGCAAGGGGCGGCGAGCGGGCCGCAAGGGGCGGCGAGCGGGCTGCAAGGGGCGGCGCACAGGCTGCAAGGGGCGGCGAGCAGGCTGCCAGAGGGCGGCGCGCGGGCTGCAAGGGGCGGCGAGCGGGCCGCAAGGGGCGGCGAGCGGGCTGCAAGGGGCGGCGCGCAGGCTGCAAGGGGCGGCGAGCGGGCTGCAAGGGGCGGCGAGCGGGCCACCAGAGGGCGGCTCGCAGGCTGCAAGGGGCGGCAAGCAGGCCGCAAGTGGGCGGCGAGCGGGCTGCAGGGGCGGCGAGCGGGCCGCAAGCGGGCGGCGAGCGGCGAGCGGGCTGCAAGGGGCGGCGAGTGGGCCACCAGAGGGCGGCTCGCAGGCTGCAAGGGGCGGCAAGCAGGCCGCAAGCGGGCGGCGAGCGGGCTGCAGGGGCGGCGAGCGGGCCGCAAGCGGGCGGCGAGCGGGCGGTGAGCAGGCTGCAGGGGCGGCGAGAGGGCCGCAGGCGAGCGGCGAGCGGGCTGCAGGGGCGGCGCGCTGGCTACTGGGGCGGCGAGCGTGCTGCAGGGGCGGCTCGCGGGCTGCTAAAGGCGGCGCTTGGGCTGCAAGGGGCAGCGCGACGGGCTAGCAAAGGGCGGCGCGCGGGCCAGAAGGGCGGCGCGCGGCCCAGCAGGGCGGCACATCAGGTAGGGCAGGGCGGCAAGGCAGCTAGTGGAGCGACGCTGTGGTGGGCCCTAAAAAAAATCGGTCCTAAGAAAGGACCTGCTCTAAAACCATGTTGAAACAGCTGAACGAGAATGATGAATTGAACAGAAAGTTGGGTACAATTACTAACCCTAATTGGGTTGTACCCCTTGTGGGCTACCCCACTATAGCCTACACAATATAAGCACTATATAAGTTTGACACAGCAAGCATACCATCAAAAGGGCCAAGCAAGAAATGATCTCCCCAGTCATTGTGTGCGCACGTAGTAACAGAGTGACTGCAGTACCGTACAACCACCCACCCAGTACATGCGCATAGTGGTGTGGGGAACAGCTGGTATGAGGCGTTTAGGGTTTAGGGTCAAGAAGCATTGCAGCACCATCTAGTCAGTGCTGCACAGGCAGTCAGTGCGGCACAACCAGAGCCACAGCCAGTCAGTGAGCGCGCATGGCAGTGTATGGCACGACGCCGCCCACCACGTTGGGCTGGTCGTCCTGAGCGATGCCACTGTCGCCCGCCCGGCTGCGGCTGCTGCGCCCCGCGTCCGTGATGCCACGTGCATGGTCCACCGCTAGTACTAGGCCTATCAGGGGCAGCAGCATCACTGCCAGGATGTAGAAGAAGGACGCCCGTAGCTCCCCCGTGGCCTGGAACGATAGGGGAGAAAGGGAAGGAGGAAAGGGATTGTAAGGGCAGGGTGGCATGTGAGGGAGGCATGGCATGTGACGTGAGGGAGGCATGTTATGTGACGTGAATGGTATGTTGCTGCACGATGACAGCAACAATGAACGGGCCGAGCCAGGGAGAGCCCTTGTTTCTGACAGAGTAGAGCGAGAAGAAGGCGCCCTCTCCCTTCCTCCTCCCATACCCGTCTCACCAAAACACCCCTTCCTATTCACACCACCACACCCCACTGTTCCCCACCGCACTCCACCGCATCCCACCTGCACAATGACAGCAACGATGAAGGGCCCAAGCCAGGAGGAGCCCTTGTCGCTGACAGAGTAGAGCGAGAAGAAGGCACCCTCTCGGCCCACGGGGATCATGTCAATGAACAGAGTGCGTGAATACGACGACAGCGGCCCCAGCAGCACGCCGAACCACCCCGCAAACACATACAGCTCCCACGCTGACTTCAACCCCACGCCGCCGTCCGGTGTGAGGTACCCGAGGAGGCCCCAGAGCGGGAGGGGAATCATCCCCGCTATAAGCACGCAGACCATGGCTTTATTGTGCAGCCCGGAGACGCGCTGCAGCCAGAAGGCGAGCGGCGTGCCGAGGAGCGCGAAGAGGAAGACGCAGCAGGCGAGCAGAACAGTAGCTGTTGTGGAGAGGCAGAGCTCGCGCTGCCCAAACAGCACGCCGATCTGCATGATGGTGGTGTACCCGTCCGCGTACACAAAGTAGCACACCAGGAACGCAAACGCGTTGCGGTACCGCCGCGCCTCGGCCAGAATGGCGCCGAGGTGGCGCCACCCGGAGAAGACGCGGAGGGGCGAGCCGGGAGGGAGGGCGGGGCCGGGGCGGGCTTTGAGGAAGGCGAAGGTGGGGAGCGCGAGGAGGATCCACCAGGCGCCGCAGAGGGCGACTGCGAGGCGGAGCTTGAGGGCGGGCGAGGAGGTGGGGAGCGTGGCGGCGAGGGCGAGGAGGGTGACGGCGATGGAGGCAGCACTGGCACAGGCGACCGCTGTGAGGGAGAGACGATTCTCCACCTGTTAATGAGGGGACGGTTGGGCATGGGCCAGGGGAATGGGATGCTCAACTAGTTGCGAGGAGGGTGACGGCGATGGATGCGGCCCTGGCACAGGCGACTGCCGTGAGAGAGAGACGATTCTCCACCTGATGGGGGACATGGGGGGGACGGATGGGGAAGGTAGGGAGGGGAAGGAGGTGGGAAGCGTGGCGGCGAGAGCTAGAAGGGTTACGGTGATGGAGGCGAAGGTGGCACGGGCGTGAGGGAGAGGCGATTCTCCACTCCACCTGGAGGGGGCATGGAAGAGAAGGAAGAGTTTCGACCGCAGCACGCCCACGAATCTCGCGCTCAGTGAAAAGCTAAGAGGCGATTCTCCACCTGGAGGACGCGTGGGGGCGGACGGTTTGTGATGGGGGCGAGGTTGGGGATGGGGATGGGCCAGCGTGGCGGCGAGCGCAAGGAGGGTGACTGCTATGGAGGCGGCGCTGTCACAGGCAACGGCCATGAGGCAGCGACAATTCTGCACCTGTGCAGGTGGGATGGTTGGGCAAGGGCCAGGGGATGGCTGTGCAAGTGGGATGGTTTATTAGTTACAGCAATGGAGGTGGCACTGGCACATGTGACCGCGCTGAGAGACAGACGGTTTTCAGCTTGATAATGAAAGGTGCAAGGGGGGATGGTTGGGGACTGACCAGGGGGGACGGTTGGGGGATAAAATGGTGGGACGGTGGGGTAAGGGCCAGGCGATGGGATGGGATGGGATGGGATGGGATGCTGCGCCAGTTGCAGGTACAGAGGTGACAGTGGCACAGGTGACAGCCGTAAGAGAGAAACGATTCTCTACCTGATGGGGGCATTGGGGTTGAGGGGGCCGGTTGGGGAAGTGCGGTAATGAAAGGTGAGTGGTGATGGGAGGGGGTGGTGATGGGAAGGGATATGATTACTTCGGTAGGTAGAGAAATTCCAAGATGCTCTTCTCATCCCGCTCCTACCTGCCCCCTCCTCTCACCTGCTCCCTCGCCCCACCTGCTCCCTGGGTATAGTGGATTAATCTAACAAGCCCCTTTGCACCCCGCCCCACCTGCTCTGTCGCCCTTGCATGGATTTGATCCTAAGAACCCCTTTACACCCCACCCCACCTCTTTGCACCCCCTCCCACCTGCTCTCGCATCTCCACCACCGCTTGCACCGGCAGCCCCGCTGCCTCCGCCTGTTGCACCTCGGGGGACGCATCCACCAGCACTGCCAGGTAGCTGGGGGGAAGGGATGGGGGGAGGAAACGGGGGGGTGGGGGTGGGGGTGGAGGGAATGTGGGGAAGGTGGGGTTTTGGGGGGACGTATGGGTGCCTCAGCCCGCAGGCAACGGGTCCTCCCCTGTTGCACCTCGGGGGACGCGCCCACCAGCACTTCTAGGTAGCTGTGTGGAAGGGGGATGGGTGTTGGAGGAAAAGGGGGGGTGGTATGGGGGGAAGAGGGAGAGGGGGAGAGTGGATGCCTCAGGCGACGCGTTCTCAGCTTGCTGCAGCACAGGAGATGCGTCCACCAGCACTGCCAAATAGTTGTTCGGGGGGGAGAAAAGAGGGTAGGGAGTATGGGGGAAAGGAGGAGAAGCGAGTGGGTGTGCTGTGGGGGGAGTTGGAAGATATGGTAATAAAGTGGACGGGGTGGGGGATAGATGCTGACGGCGATGCGGTAAGAAGTGGTGGGAGTAGCAGCGGTTGGGCAGCAGCAACTGCAGTAGCAGCAGTGTCAGGCAGGTCTCGGATCAACGCACCTGTAGTAAGCAACGGTGGCGATGCCGTAGCCAACATTGGCGACCACCAGCAGCAAAGCAGATAACCACCAGAGGGTTGGCGAGGCGAGCACGAGGCACAGCAGACAAGCGGCGCCGCCCATGTACGTGCCCACCTGCAGTAGCTGTGCGCGGGGAGCACGGGGGCAGGTGGGGTGATGCGTGCGTTAGGGAAGAGGAATGAGAGGCGAGACTGGGAGGTGAATGGTTGTTGCACTTTTGAAATTTCTGATTCTGCTGTGGCTGCATGGTGTGGCATGGCATGGTGTGCGAGGGTAGGAACCGGAGCTTGTATTGTGTGTGAGTATTCTCAAACGGGCCATACGGACAGCGATCGCCCTCTGCTTAGTTCCCAACCAGGTCAGCATCTCCTTTTCCCTTCCCATTCTCTCCCCCCCTCCTCTCCCTTCCTCCCCCCCACGCGTTTCCTTCCGCGGCCAAAGCCACCAAGGGGGCCGATAGTGACGAACACAGTAACTCCAAAGAGCACTCCTCCTACCCTTCCCCCATTCCCTCTCTCCCCACACTCCTCCTACCCCTTCCCCCCCCCCCACCTGCTTCCTGCCGCGGCCAAAGTCAGCAAGCGGGCCGACAGTAACAAAGGCAGCGACCTCAAAGAGCACCAACACGCCCAGCATGGCCGTTGCGATTCCCTCTCTCCCCATCCTCACCCATCACGGGGTCATCTACATACCTGTTTGCGCCCGCGGCCAAAGTCAGCAAGCGGCCCAACAGTGACAAACGCAGCGACCTCAAAGAGCACAGACACGCCCAGCATGGCCGTCGCGAACGACACCGGGTTGATGCTGCCTCCACCTGCCATGGGGATGCCTGGTATGGATGCCTCTGTGTACCTGTGGGGAAGATGGGGGAAGGGAGTTGGAGGGTTGTTAAGGACGATTCGTTTTGAGACGTTCTCAGAAATGCCCGGCCCGGGGCCCTCAATGTACCTGTGGTGGGGTGCGGGTGGGGCGGGGAAGGCGAGGCCCGAGGGGGAGAAGAGGGGGAAGGGAGTTCTGGGGGATGCAGGAGGGGTGTTGCGAAATGATTCTGAGACTATAGGCTTTCGCTCGCCACTGGGATTGCGAGAGGGGTGTTGCGAAATGATTTTAGCACCCATTCGCCACATGTGGGCTGTCCCGGGTAGCACCCATTCGTGCGCAACAACCCCCCTCCCCCTTCTCCACTCCTCCCCCCGGCTTGGCGCAGCGCGGAGCAATCAAGGCGAGGGCGGTGCAGCGGCAGCGGACGCACACCATGGGAGAGCAGGGAGGGAGAGAGAGGGGCGAGAGGGGAGGAAGGGAGAGGCAAGCGTCTACAACTTCGTAAATCCACTCCACTCCATACCTCGCCTCACGCCCCTAGCAAGAATCACCTGAGTCACGCGCCAACCCATCCGCGCGCTCTCATTCGCTCCCCTCGAGTACCCATTCCCCCGCCTTCTCCCCATCCCCCATTCCTCACCCCGCCGAGGTCTGCAGCTGCATGCCCTTCCCCGGCACGCACTGCAGGCAGTCGCTCGTCACGTCCGCGCTGCACGCGGGCGGCTGCGGCGACGCGGCGTGCTGCCACGCGAACTCCGAGGCGAGCGCGACGAGGAGCAGGGGGAAGAAGATGGGCAACGCGGCGGAGTAGAATCCCGCCACCGCCGCGTCGTACCCGTACCACGCCCACACCTGCGATGGGATGCATTATAGGGGGGAAAGGGGAGAAGGGCACGCAGGGGGAAACAGGGAGAGAGGGGAGACTCGAACACTTGTTTTATCCCGCCACCGCCGCGTCGTACCCGACCCATGCCCACACCTCGCGCTTCCCCGCGGGCGCCGCGCGCGAGCTCTCCCCGTCGATCTCCATCGGCGCGAACCCCCCCGTCATTGCGCCGCGGCGCTGGCGGCGGTTTCCCCGCGGCTGGTCGACCGGCGGTTACTAGTTTTTGCGCCTCCCGGCCGGCAGTAGACGGCGGAATCCGGCGGCGGCGAGGTGGCGGGAACCGCGAGCGTAGCGGGGGAGAACGGCGCGCGAATCAGCGCACGGTCCAGGAATGGAGGGCGCGGTAATTGGGTGAAGCGCGGGGCGGGAGTGGCGAGAACGGTCGCGAAGCAGACACAGGTGCAGAAGTGGCGGGCGCGGTGATGGGGTGGTGCGCGGGGGGGCAGTGGCGGGGGGAAGGTGAAGGTGGTGTTGTGCGATGGAGCTGTACTCGTTATTATCAGAAGCAATATCTTGTATCAAAATGCTTCAACTGGAGTTGAGGTGCTAGGGCTAACTAGCAACGATTTTCAGAACAAGTGCTGTTGATGGTATATAAAAAACAATTGTGGTTACACTACATGCTACATGCTATAAGCGCAGCGAGCTGAGAACCAACACATTCACTGCATGCGTTGGCTGCAGGCTACAGCGCAGTGAGCGTTGCGGTTTCAACATACGTAAAGCTCCACGAGAGCACCAATGGGTGCCACACTGTTGTCTTGAATTGTATCAAATCGAATATGATATCACAGCACGGTGAGAGTTGCGGTTTCAACATCAAGCTCCACGAGAGCACCAATAGGAGCCACTCTGTTGTCGCTAGTGTGGCCAATGGGCAGCCCCGCCAGCACCGGCAACCAATAGGGGAGCGCCACCTGTCCCAGCCAGAACCACTTGTCCCAGTCGCCTCCGTACTGCTCCGCCACGATTGGTCGAACACTCTCTGTGTGCGGTGGATGGGATGGGATTGAGAGGAGAGACATAAGGCAGTGGACGACAGGAAGGGCACATTAAATGAATGGCATTCGAAGCAGGGCAGTAGTGCGAGGGAACGAGCGCAGGCAGCAGTGTTGGACGCGACAAAAGCACCTGCCACAGCAGCCCATGCAGTGTCTTGAGTCGACATGAAAGGCAGTCCATGCACCCCATGCACCCCATGCACCCCATGCCATACCTCGCGCCTCGTCACTCATGCCCTGAAAGTTGGAGAAGCTTCCAAGAACCAGCCCCGATAGGGCCGTCACGTACCCCTGTGTGCCATGCCCCATGCCGGAACAGCTGGAAGCATGGTCGTGATGGTCGGGACCCATGCTGCTATGGCCAGGCTCCATGCCCTTCCATGATCCTTGGCATGGATCAGCATGGCCGTTAGATTGGGCTGCAGCCACATGGGCAGAAGCATGGGCAGCAGGATGCGAGTGGGTGCACGTTGTGGCGTGGCAGGGAGGAGGGGCGGAGGGCAGCAGAGAGGGCAGCAGCTGGTGCAGCATGCGATCGACCCGGTACTCCTCCTCTCCCACTGCCACACAGCACAGGCAGCACAGAGAGACAAGGAGATGGGAAGAGACGAGAAAGGCGATTGATGAGTGGGGAGGGTGGTTCAAGGTTGCACAGCAGCTGGTGCAGCATGCGATCCACTCGGTACTCCTCCCCCACTGCCACATGGCATGGGCAGCACGGGCAGCAAGCAAGCACGGGCAGCAAGCAGGCACGGGCAGCAAGCAAGCACGGGCAGCACAGAGACACGGAGTTGAGAAGAGTGACAGGAGGCTATTGGGACACACAGGCATGCAGATGCATGGCAGAGGCATGGCGGAGGCATGGCAGAGGCTATAGATGCAGCGAGCAGGGAGAGCGGTCCGAGGTTGCATGGCAAGCAAAGCGGAGAGTTCTATTCAATGGGGGAGAAGGACAAGCAAGAGCAGAACTTGCACTACTCATGCCAATTCATGATATGTCATCCCATCCCACCCCATGCATGCATGCCTGAATTGCACCAGGTCACATGGCAGCGTAACACGCATCTCACCATCTTCCAGCATCAGAATCACGCCATCACTGCCCCCCGCGCCCCCACCACCACTGCTGTTGCTGCAGCAGCACGTGCCTCGCCGCCCCGCCGCCCATTTGGACCCCACGAGCGAAGCCAGAACAGACAGATTGCCGCCCAGCAGCCGCCCTTGCACTCGATTTGAGCGGCAGCAAGAGGAAGCGCCACCCAGCCAGCCCCTCTGGAGGCAGCGGCCCTGCGATGGATGGGGGGGGAATGGCGGAGGAAATATAAGGGGAAGTGGGGAGGGACGAAATGGGACAAGAGAGGAAATGTGAAGGGCACGAAAGGGAAGGAGATCCTTTCTGTAAAAGGTGCACTTCTGCGAGCTCTCAAAAGGCCAACAGCTGACATTTGAGTCGACTCAAAAGTCAGCTCTCAAAAGGCCAAAAGCTGACAGCCGACAGCAATCATGGAAGCAGCAGACTTAGATGGAATTGACGCTGGGGAAGGCCAGCGTCAAGCGTCAATTCGGACCGAATTGAAGCTGGACGCTGGACAGGGACTTTGACGCTTGACGGCCCCCCCAAAAGTTTTCGGGCAGCCCGAAATCGGAAAAAAAAATCGAGCAAAAAAAAATCAACATTGAAGTTCGCCCCGAAAACGCGACTTCAAAATTCACTCGACATTGCACCACACTGAAAACCCACAACACAAAAAACAACCCCCCCACCCCTTTCAACCGCTCAACAACTACAAAACGCAACCTGCACACACACATTTAGCACAAGCACAACTCCCGCGACTTCATTCTTGGTTTACGACCAGCAGCAAACTCGATTCCTAGCTTAGCGCGCGTGACATTAGGGTTAGCGTTTTTAGTGGAAACTGATCCTACCACCATGGCTTCCTCCAACCCTAGTACATCTCATTGTTGGCTGCCCGAAGGTTCAACAACCCTCTTACCTTCCTCCCTCCCCCCGAGACCCCCCCCCCTGGTTTTTTTTTGGGCTGCCCGAAGGTTTTGTTTTGCTTGCCCGCCAGAGCGTCAAAACCACTGTCAAACTCTCGGAGGGTTCCGTCTAGCGTAAAAAACGGACCGTAAAAAACGTTCCGTAAAAAACGCTAGCTCCGTCAATTTCAACTAAGGCAGCAGAGAGTGGAGAGGGAAAAGAGAGAACGGGCACCTGACGATCAACAGACGGGCACCTGAAAAACATCTAAAGAGCACCTGACCCTCCTGAAAGGCACCTGAAATTTATCTAGAGGGCACTTGACTCTCACCTGAAGAGGGGGGCAGGCGAGAGGCAGGGAGGGTTCGAAGAGGGTGGCACGGAGGGCTGCTCTGCTGGCGAGAGCTGATTGGTGCATGAAGAATGAGGTGGCTGGCATGGGCGCGTGGAAGGAGATGAACGGCGCTGCTAGCTCCGCCTGGAAGAAACTGACCGGGGGGGGTAGGTGGGGGGGAGGGGAGAGGGGGGAGAGGGTGGGGGGGGGGAAGGGGAAAGGGGGGGACTTGAAGGGGGGGAGAGGAGAGGGGATGGGCGGGGAGGAAGGGGAGGGGAGGGGAGGGAAGGGAGTGGGAGGGGAGGGGAGGGAACAAGTGGAGAGGAGAGGAAAAAGAGGAGAATGGGGAGGGAGGATGGAGCGAGGACTCTGAGCTGATGAGTTTGTGCGTGCAGGCATGTGTGTGCATAGCTGAGAGCCTCGAGAGGGCTTTGCCATGCCGAGTTGCAAACCATGGCACATGGGCGTACCTGGTGGGTGTGACCGCCTGGCAGGTCCCCCCACCTGTGCAGTGCGGTGACGTCACTGAAGCCGAAGAATCGCTTGCGGCAGATTTGAGTGACAAGCCGCGAGCGCCTGCTGCCGCCTTGTGCCACGTCAGCACTGCTGCAGCATCGTGCCACGTCAGCACTGCTACCGAATGTTCTATTCACACCTCTACACCCACCATCGCCTCCTGCTGCCCCTGCACCAGCACTCTCCACGTTCCCCCGTGCATCTGCACGCCCCTCCACTCCATCCTCTCCTTCCCACATCACCTCACCCCCGCTGCCCCCCTCCTCACCCCCGCTGCCCCCCTCCTCACCCCCACACCCCGCCCGCCCTTCAAGCCTCTGCGCCCACTCGCCTGACTCGCCCCCGCCCTCATTCCCTTCCCCTTCTTCCCCCTTGCCCTCACCCCCAGTGCCCCAACTCTCCCCGCGCTCATTTCCCTTGGCCTGATCCCCCCCGTCCTCATCCCCCCGGCCCTCATTCGCTGCTCCTCCTTCCCCCAACACTGCCTCCGCGCCTCTCTCCAATTCCGCCTCCCCATCCCCGCACTCCCAACCTCCGCGCTCCCATTCCCCCTCCCCCTTCCCCTCCGCCTCCCCCTGCCCCTCCCCCCTAAGCGCGCGCTCCAGCAGGGGCAGCAGGCGCGCGCAGCCATACCCGCCCCGAGCGCACACCACTGCGCGCGTGGTGGGGTCCAGAAACGCCTCCACCAAACCTGCGGCTCTGGCTCGGTCCGAGCCTGCGAGGTAGGCTTGGCGCAGCGCGACTTGCGGATGCACGACTGGGACGAGACCCCTGGCGAGATAGGGAAGAGCGGGGATGGGCAGAACGAGCTGGAGGGGGGGAACCAATGGCGTGACAGCGCATGGCGGCAGCGCGCAAGTGAGCAGCGGCGGTCACGATGTGTATGAGCTCGGTTGTGCATTCCTAGCTGCCCCTCACTCCCTCATTCACCCGATTGCACAGCTCACGGCACGTGCGAGCGGCAGTGCGGCGGCAGCGACAGCAGGTGTGTGCGTGCGTGTGCCTCAGCACACATGAACCGTGCACGTCACGTCACCACGCACGAACGCGCGCGTGTGTACATCATTCCTACGCACGGGAGGGAGTGCTGGGTGTGCCTCGCCACGCAAGAGAGGGTGCGTGCCTCACCACGACGCCAGCACGTCGCAGCCTTGTCGCAGCAGTCGCGCGTCCACAGCCCCGGCGGGCGCCACGATGCTCACGCGGTCGCCCGCCCTCACTGCCGGCGGCGGGGCTGGACGCGACGGCGCGCTGTTGCGGTTGTGCATGGCGCGCGTGGTGACGCTGAAGATGACGCGTCGCGTGCAGTCTGCTGGCAAGGCTGCGTTGCGAGCCACGAGGTCTAGCCGCCACCCCCACCTCGTATTCACCTGATGGAAAACACAACCGTGCCCCCAGTAACGTTTTCGCTACAGCTAGAGAAATATTTGGAAACTTTCTCTATAATAAATTGGTTTGTGTAAGGAAATTTCCTTTTCCTTACTTCGCATCCCTGCTCAGCGCGTACACCACTGATCCCGCCAACAGCACCCAACAGTACCGTTACCACTCCCGACACTCGCCTCGAATACTTTTCCCGCCACTGTTCACGACGCGACCCAACCTCACAGTTCGATTGGTAACCCACGCTCCGGACCTCCGTATCAAGAAACTAAACGAGAATGAATGCATTGAGAAGAAAGTTGGTACAAGTACTAACCCTAATTGGATTATACCCCTTATGGGCTACCCGACTTCAGTCTACACTATAAACATTATAACAGTTTGACACACCCCCATAGGCAAAGTGGGGGAGAACAGGGGGTCACAAGACAAGTCAAGAAAAAAAAAAAAAAAAAAAAAAAAAAAAAAAAAAAAAAAAAAAAGCAAAGTAAGCTCAGGGTGGATCACGAAGTCACCACACACTCTGAACACAAGCAAATGGCCACAAGGCCAGTTCACATGCAGAATTATATAAACGATAACAAACAGTACAGTGATCATACCCTAGCAAGTGTAAGCATGCAGGTATATGTATATAGATCACAGTACAAGCAAAGTCACGCAGTGAGCAAATGAGGCAAAGTAGGTGTTAGATTTTCGTAGAAAATACAGTCACGGGCAGGAACCAGGAGGCGACTACGATAATCCATGATACGCCAGGCAGAAAACTGTTTCTCGAGGCCGAAATGAAGGCCCCACTTAGCACGTTGATCGAATTTTCCGAGCGGAGCTGTAGGAGGACGGTATTGCACGACACACCCGAAAACTCGAAGAAGTTTTGTAGTACCCAACTTGACCGTCCACAGCAAGTGGGGTGATGCGTTGTTGGGCAGAGCCGAGGAAGATAGAAGGTTATGCAACAGTGTTGCATGATCCATCGCGAAGGGCCAGTAGAGCGGGCCGAGCTGGGATTGGGCGAGCAGAGCTCGCATCTTTTCTTGGAGAGTCCGATTGAGGCGTTCTGCTACGCCGCTCTGTTGGTGAGCGTGAGGAAGCGAGAAGAGGCGCCGTATGCCTCTCTCTTGCAGATACGTCATAAACTCGAGACTCCGATACTCCCCGGCTCCGTCACACTGGAAGGACTTCAGTTTGGTGTCGGATTCACGTTCTGCGAGAGGCAGCCATGTTCGAAACGCTGTGAAGGCAAGAAAACGGTTAGTCATGTTACCAGTCCAGACGTATCGAGTAGAGGCTTCAGTAAACGTGATGACATATTTCTCGCCGTTGAAACCCTCCGCAGGTAAGTTGAGAATATCGCTGTAGACTTTTTCCACCAAGCGATAATCTTCAGCTCCAAGAAAATGAGACGGGTACAGCTCGTGCGGTAGATTTGCTGCTGGGCAGATTAAGCAGGGTGACGGACGATTGACCGGTTTCATTTGGAGGCCGCCAGGTAAGAGAAGCGAATTTTTGTCGAGAACAGCGGCTTTGATCGTACTGTTGAGCGTAGACTGCGACAGATTACCAAGACGCTTATGCCATGTTTCTGCAGTAGCTTTGTGTCCCTGTGCGCGCAGATAATAATCGGCGTGAGCGAAGAAAGATAAAAGCAGCCGATGACCGTTAGCGCGGACATGATCTGAGACGGGCGGGATGAACCTGGTAAGATTAGGTGGTGGAATTTTTACTTCAACGTCGACGTATTCTCCAGGTGCGAGAACTAACTCCCCGCTTTCTTGATCTGATGCTGCAGGTCTAGGCTCAACACCGACAAGACGTCCGGAGTGGAGGACTTCCATGTCAGCGACACGCTGCTCGGCTTCAGTGAGAAGGCGATGATCGCGATCAGCGGGTGTTTCTCCCCAAGCAGTCTTGTCGGGTTCTTGCGCCCCCCAGACGCCTTCACCCGTGGGCATGATCGTCGGATATCCCCAACCGCCAACGTGAGCAAGGTAGTCCCGGGATGTCTGTGTTAGAATGTAAGAATGAGAATTAGATAAACTAGAAGCAGGATGAGTACAAGTACTAACCCTGAATTGTGTTGTACCCCATATAGGCTACCCCACTACAGACTACACAATGTGCAGCATATAAGTTTGACACACCCCCATAGGCAAAGTGGGGGAGAACAAGTGGTCACAAGACCAGTCAAGAAAAGCAAAGCAAGCTCAGGGTGGATCACAAAGTCACCACACAGTCCGAGCACAAGCAAAGGGCCACAAGGCCAGTTCACATGCAAAGTTATATAAAGAGAACAAACAATACAGTGATCATACCCTAGCAAGTGCAAGCATGCAGGTATATATAGAGATCATAGTACAAGCAAAGTCAAGCAGTAAGCAAGTGAGGCAAAGTAGGCACAAGGCCTAACACAGTAGCAAAGCGCTGATGATCACCAGGCGGAAGTGCCTTGGTGAAGACATCAGCAGTGTTGGCCCGAGTGGCCACGTACGCAAGACGAAGCTGGCCACGCTGATGCAACTCTCGAGCAAGGAAGTATCGCAGAGCGATGTGCTTCGTTCTGTGCTCCTGACACAAGGCAATCATGGCCTTGTCTACGTACAGAACTGGAGGCGAACGAGGCTGCTCTCCCAGGTCGGTCAGCAGGAAGGTGAGCCAGCGTAGCTCCTGAGCAGCCATGGCCCCGGCGTAGATCTCAGCCTCACAACTGGAGCTGAGAACCAAAGACGAGCGGGTAGACCGCCAAGAAACAGAGCCGGAACCAAGGCTGAAGGTGTAACCCTGTGACGACCGCTGCGTAGCTGAGTCGTCAACCCAGGATGCGTCTGCATGGCCAGTGAGAACAAATGGACCCCGTCCTCCAAGCACAAGCCCCATGCCCGCCGTACTGCACAGGTAATGCAGTACCCTCTTCGCAGCATCCTAGTGCACCTTTCGGTGCCTACCGGAAGGCACGTAGCGAGCCCGAAGGCTGAGAGAGTACGCGAGGTCAAGTTGTGTGCAGGTCATCAGGTACATGAGGCAACCCACAAGCTCTGGGTACGGACCACTCGGCTCTACGGACTCGTCCGAAGGTGGAGCTGAGAGCGAGTGGCTGGTAGACAGAGGAGTGGGCTGTGGCGAGGAGAACTGGAAGCCGAAGCGCTGAAGGACCTGGTGCACCATGTGTGACTGAGTCAGTGTGATAGTGCGCCGTGCTCTGTCCCGGGTGATCTGCAGGCCAAGATAGCTGCGCAGTTCACCCAGGTCAGTGCAGGTGTGTCTCTTATGCAGCTCGAACTTCACAAGAGTCAGTGCCTCAGTGTCAGCTGTGGCAAAGACGATGTCGTCGACGTACACGAGGACGTAGAACGGTGACAGCGAGGTGTCGGTGCGTAGAAACAGCGACAGGTCCACTGTAGAAGGAGCAAACCCAAGAGCCGCAAGTGTAGTCCTCAGTGTGTCATGCCACTCGCGAGGCGCCTGGCAGAGACCGTAGACTGGCCGGCGGAGGCTCTACTGAGTACCTGCAGGAAACGTCCCAGTGAAACCAGGTGGTCGGCGCAGCCAGATCTCCTCGTGTAGGCTGCCCTGCAGAAAAGCTGTGCTGAAGTCCAGAGAGTGCAACTCGTAGTCACGCTGAGCAGCGACGTGCAGCAATACCCGAAGAGTAGTCATCTTCGGGGTGGGGGAGAAGGTCTGGAAGTAGTCAACTCCCTGTCGCTGACTGAAGCCTCGAGCAACGTAACGCGCCTTGAAGGCAGGCGGAGAACCTGGCGGCCGCTTCACCCTGAAAATCCACATGCCATCGACTATGTTCGCCCTAGACGGGGGAACTGCGTCGACGTAGGTGCCTGTGGACTTCCAGGATGCCATCTCGGCATCCATAGCTGCCTGCCACTGAGAGGAGTAAGGACCCGTAATCGCCTCTGCGTAAGAGCGCGGGGTCGGGATGTCTGGAGCATCCGGGTCTCCCTCAGGGACAAGCAGCATGGAAGCGAAACGAGGTACAGCAGCTGCAAGACACTCAAAGTCCTCCTGCCTATCCTCAAGGACGTCCGTGCCAAGAGCACACTCACCCCCGACGGATGGAGGACTGGCAGGTACAGATTCAGCAAATAGAGCAGAGGCGTAGTCGAGACGGCAGGCAGCAGCAAAGTCAAGCAGCTCAGCAACTAGAGCAGACGCAGCAACAGATTCAAAGGAAGGGTTAGTGACAGCAGTGGCGAGGAGACGAGCGACAGTGGGACTGGCAGCTCGCGCGCGGTCAGACGCAGGGTCAGGGACATCAGGAAGAGAGGACTCAGGAGAAGCAGGCAGAGGAACACGCAGTGGAATAGAGGAAGGACGGAGTGCCATAGCGTGCGTGCCTGGGACAGGAGGAGGACGCGAATCAGGAGCGCGACGAGCAGTGAGAACAGGCGAGACCGGATGAGACGCAGGCTCACGACGCTCTGTAAGACCGCCGGACTGCTTAGTGTAAGGAGAGGGAGCAGGAAGCGGGGAGGCTGGCTGTAACGGTGGCTGCGACTGGTCAGGCGGTGGACACAGGAAGGGAGGAGGAAGACCAGTAGAAGACGGGACACCAAGAACCTGCTGAAGCAGGGGAACGAAGTACGGTCACGGCCGCACAGTGCCTCCAGCACCTCCCGCGCCAGGGTCAACAGCTCCAGCTCCTGCAGCTCCAGGGTCAACAGCTCCAGTTCCTACAGCCCTAGCGCCTCCTGCCAGGGCCTCCAACTCCAGCTCCAGCGCCTCCAGCGCCAGCCGCTCCAAGCTCTGTAGGGTCTCCAGCTCCAGCGCACCCAACACCACCAGTCCCGACAGCTCCAGCACCACTGGTACGAGCACCTCCAGGACCAGTAGCCGCAGTACCTCCAGTACTGCCAGCTCCACTAGTAACAGC